TATCTGATCTCTTATTCAAGTAATAATATTAAAATTGGCCTAGGAAAAACATCAGTTTCCTAAGTTACAAATAGGAATGGTTCACAAAACCTTGCGGCTACATCCTGATGCTGGACGGTACCCATCTTGCTTCGTCCTAAGTTGGTTAACTTAAAATAGTTCCACCACCTCAGAGACACCACTGCCAATGTGGCATATGCTGCAGTTGCTATTCAAACCAGACGTGTATTTACTGTGTGTTGTATTACTTCTGGTTCCTTCACCCAATATGCCTAGACCAACTTTTTTTTTTTCTCCAGCCAATCACCTCCTGGGATCCAATATATAAATTCAGTATTGCATGTATTGTGCATAACTGTTCTAAAGGATCTTATTTTGTGTCCTATATAAGTCAATATAGTGTACATTGCCATATAATGTAAAAAGAAAGATCTACGTATAAACAATGCAACCAACTATCTAAGTGTCATACCAACCAACTAAAATATCAAATAAACTTTGAACAGTGACTTCTGTCTTACTATATTAAGATAAATAAAGCTGCGACTTACTCATTACATTATTGGGACCCATTAGGGTATTCATGGGCAACACTACAGTGGTATTTTTAAGGTGTGTTGTTTACTAATGATCAGACTTTAGTTTAACATGATTTAATATAATTAATAGATGACTAGATTGAGTAGGTTGTTTTGGTACCATTTCCATTATATTCAATCCTTTTACTATGCTAAGCCACAGGATATTAAGAGATAACTTGATAATAGGGCTAATCATAACTGGTACCCTACAAGTCACGTAGATGGCATTCTACACCCGAATGTAAAAATATCACTTACCAACAACATAGGCAGTGGTACTTTGTCACTATAGGGAGACACAGATTTTTAAGAACTTTTGCTCTCTGGAGGCCGGTAACTTGATGGTACTTAACAGTTTTAAACCAAATAGTCTTGGTGGTTTGTCCACTCAAAAACTTTTAGATTTTCCTCAAAATAGATCTACAACTATGATCCTTATTCAGGTCCGAATACTTCCAGAGGTTAACTAGAGCAACTTTATTGTCATCACTTCTCCAGGATCTTTCACTAAAGTTTCCTTCCTGAAAGCTAGTGAAGAGAAAGAATTATGCTTTTTTTTTTCCAGTGTGTCAAACGTAAAAGGAAAAGAATGAACTATGTAGTCTTAACAAGTACTATAATATGATTTGCTTTTTACACAGGCTTTAAAAAAAATAGACAAGCTACAATTTACACATCATAAAATTTACATTAAAAAAAAATTTTTTTTAATGTTTATTTCTGAGAGCCAGAGCACGAGTAGGGGAGGGACAGAGAGCAGGAGACGCAGAATCCGAAGCAGGCTCCAGGGTCTGAGCTGTCAGCACAGAGCCTGACGCGGGGCTCTAACTCATGAACTATGAGATTGTGACCTGAGCCAAAGTCGGACACACAATTGACTGAGGCACCCAGGTGCCCCTAAAATTCACCTTTTGAAAAGGTGCAGGGGTGCCTGGGTGGTTCAGTCCGTTAAGCGTCCGACTTTGGCTCAGGTTATGATCTCAAGAGCCCTACATCGGGCTCTATGCTGACAGCCTGGAGCCTGCTTCGGATTCTGTGTCTCCCTCTCTCTGTGCTCCTCCCCCGCTTGTGCTCTCTTTCTCTCTCTCTCTCTCAAAAGTAAACATAAAAAAAATTTTTTTTAAGAGTGTATAATTCTGTGAATTCACATAGTTGTACAACCTCCACCACTACCTAATCTTAGAACTTTTTAATTACTACAAAAACAAACCTGTACTTATGCCTATAGCCTCTTGTAAACTTTGGGGCAACTTTAGTCTAAAAAAATTTATTTACATTTATTAATTTCATATCTGATAGACTAAATTAGTCAATGCCAACATGACTGAAAAGTCAATGCTTAAAGATATATTAACCTAATCTTCCATGAATTTTTAGATTTAATCTTCTAAAGCTTCCTCCCTTTGTGGCACAAAAAGTGTTTCAGGATTACCTTGTATCTTCCTGTTCCAGGCAAGGAATGGACCAATTCTGCAAAGTCTTGATTCTTTTAAATGTAATATGATCTCAGGGTGCCTGGGTGACTTGGTTGAGAATCCAACTACGACTCCGTCATGACCTCACAGTTTGTGGGTTCAAGCCCCGCGTTGGGCTCTGTGCTGATAGCTCAGAGTCTGGAGCCTGCTTCAGATTATCTGTCTCCCTCATCTCTGCCCCTCCCCAGCTCATTCTCTCTCTCTCTCTCTCTCTCTCTCTCTCTCAAAAATAGACTTAAAATTTAAATGTAATATCTCATTTTAGTCTTAATAACCTTGGGGAAGTGGATTAAATATGCCTTAGTTCCATTTTACAGAAGATACCAGTTAGTGGAGAAGCAAATGGGATGTTCAGAACATAGTCTTCCTTCCTTCCTTATTATACATATATAATAATGTATATCATGTCTACATAAATAACGTTCATATATATGTATATAGACAGAAAAATGCACATATGTTTTTCACTGAAGCCCATGTTGCCAAAGTATCAGGACTTCAAAGCCATGCTCTTTCAGAATTTTTTACCGCATTTACACTAGGGCAGATGTTGGAATGTACAGATCTTGCCCCTCCTGTATTTTCATTGCTGCACAATCAAGCTGTACAATCAAGCAAAATGGCTAAGTTAGTTTGGACTGTAGCCACCCAGAGAGCCCACTCAGGCAGGGGACCTCAAGGGCCAGCCCTGCACTTTGGGTAGGTATGAATGAAGAGCCTTTTTCTTCATCCAGATCAGGAGTTTGGTCACTACCTCCTTCCGCCACCAGATGATCATCCACGCCAGCAGTGTCTCCCTCTTAACCTCCTGGTAAATGAGGTGCAAGCGTGGGGAGTTGCTGTGCAAGGAAGCATACAAGCAAGTGGTAGTACAGGACCAACAGTGGCTACTGTTCCTGTCTACTACAGGGAACCTGTTTCTTGGAGCTGGTAGTTTGTGAAAAGTGCCATGAGAGAAACAGGAGAGATGTGAGGAGGTGGTCCTTGGTCACACATCGGTCAAGGAAAGCTAGAGGAAGTGCCATTTATGTTCCAAACCGAAAACGAGAAATCAACTTTGAGAAGGGCGAGGGAAGCACTTTTTTCTTTTTTTTAACTTTTTCTTAATGTTTATTTTTGAGAGAGAGAGAGAGCATGCAAGCAGGGGAGGGGCAGAGAGAGAGAGGGACACAGAATCTGAAGCAGGCTCCAGGCTCTGAGCTGTCAGCACACAGCCCGATTTGGGGCTCGAACTCACGAACCGTGAGATCCTGACCTGAGCTGAAGTCGGACGCTTAACCAACGAGGCCACCCAGGCGCCCCAACAACTTTCTAAATATAGGGAACAGCAAAAAGTCCTGAGCCAAGAAAAAGCAGTCCAAAAGCTGGTGGGGAGTGAGGAGAGAATGTCTTGAGATCAAGTTGGAGAGCTAGGAGGCCAATTTTTTTTTTTTTTTTTTAAGGAGGCAAATCTTGAATGTCTTTTAGGTTATGGTAAAAATTGGTTATTTTAAATGTAATGGAAAGCCATGGAAGAGTTTTAAGCAGGGCGATTCATTGCCCTGCTTAATGTCTGAAGTACATTAAAAACAAACCGTAGGCTTTGAAACAGAAAATGGAAAAGGATTTCAAATGCAAATACTCAACAGAAGATGACCAAGGAGGTTGGTTCCCCTTCTGTGAGTTATAAATTCATGGTATAAATTAAGAACACCCTTAGAAAATTACACATGGCTTTTCCTTTCCATTATTACTTTATGTATGTATGTATACATGTATTACTTATTCTGAGAGAGAGAGAGAGAGAGAGAGAGAGAGAATTAGAGAATCCAAGCAGGCTCGTGGAGCCTGACCTGTGGCTCAAACCCACCAACAGTGAGATCATGACCTGAGCTGAAATCAAGAGTCAGATGCTCCACTGATTTAACCACCCAGGTGCCCCTCATTATTACTTTAATTCAAACTTTATTTCAGCCCTCTGTCCTGAAGTTTCGGAGCTCAATAATAATGTTTTGAATTCCTGCAAATAAATGTATGCACAAGGGCGTGATAAAGCACATCAAAAAATACTCGTCAAATTCAGGTTGGTCATTCCCAAGCCCAGCCTTAAATTCTTAGTCTTTGGGGGCTCAGGTCCTTTCAGCATGCCCTCTCAGAAAGAGGCAAGTTATCTGGAAGCAGTTTGGAAGCTATGTCATCAGGACGCGGTCTTAAGATGGCACCAACGTAAGAAAATGAGGTGCTCCCAAGAGGGCTTTTTCCCAGTGGGGCCTGAAGTCTCCAAAAACTCGACGCTAAACTCACTCCCAGGCCTAGGCTGGCTGAGGGAAATGAAACGATACCCCAATATCCCTCCCGTTCACACCTTAAAGAACGCCTAGAATTCTTCACAGGGAAGAGGGCTCAACCCCAGGCACCTGGAAAAGTCCCCCTCCCTCTCCCCACAGGCTGGGAGGATAGTTAACAGCCTGGCTAGGTGCCTGCCCCTGGGCCAGCGGGGGGCGGAGCTTGCGTGCTGACGAAAGGGAATCGTGCGTGGGGGCGTTCGTGCGTGCGTTGGCCGTCCAGAGAGTAACCGTTACAGGGCTCCGCACTTCAGCTGTCCTTGATGCTTTTCTTCTGATGTTACTTTTTTTTGTTTTTTTTTTTAATCTTCCTTAAAGGCGGTGTGTTGTGCTTTCTGGCTAAGTTGTGCCAGGCAAAGCATTTGTGAGTGTCTAGTACTGGGGTGAAAATGGTGGCTCGAGGGCAAGGAGAAATAAAAGCTTATTGGTTTCCCACCCCCTGCTACTGATAGGTAGACTGGTCCTGGCTTTACCTCTCCACACCCCTTGACCCCCCCACCCTTGGTTCCAACTTTCTGCAAACCCAAAACGTAGGTCCTTAGGTCTTCAGTGTAGTTATGACAGTGATCAATTTAGGGAGTTTGATTCCACTGAAATTTCATTATCCCTATCAGGTTCTCAGCATGTCAACTGTCAAGGAGAAGCTTATTGAGAATCTAATTGGGGAAGAGAAGATCTCCCAGAGTAAGATCACCATTGTCGGAACTGGTGCTGTAGGCATGGCCTGTGCTATTTGTATCTTATTGAAGGTAAGTAAGAAGTCTTGTAGGTGTTGATGAGTTCAGGGTTGTAGGGCTAATCTTTTGATAGCAAATATATATTCACTTACCTGATTTTGACATAATTTAAGAAACATTTACTTGGAGTTTACCATGTGATAAAGTACATGGTCTAGCCAGGCATTGCTAGACCACTTAAATTTATTCATAGGAGACACATTGATTGCGTTATTTCGTTAATATTCTGTTTAAATGATTCCATACCTTGCCTTCCTGGAAGAGTAATGGGTGAAAATCGTATTTCCCAGAAGCTTATATTTAAAAAAGTTTTTTAAAATTGTAAGTATTACATGCTCATTATCCAAGTACCAACTTGATAAAATAACAGTAGAAGTCCTTTAATTTTCCTTTCTGTTTACACAGCATCTTTTCATGTGGCTGTTGGCAATTCGTATATCTTCTTTGGAGAAGTATTTATTCAAATTCTTTGCCCATTTTAAATCAGGGTATTTGTTGTTGACTTGTAGGAGTTCTTTTTCTATTCTAGGTATTAATCTCTTATCAATTATATTATTTTCCAGTGTTTTTTTTCCATTCCATGGTTTTTTCACTCTGTTGATAGTGTTCTTTGATGCACATTTTTAAATTTTAATGTGGTTCAATTTATCTATTTTTACTTTTGTTGCAGGAGCTCTTGGTGTCATATCCAAAAATCATTGCCAAATCCAATGTCATGAATCTTTTCACTTCTGTTTTCTCCTCAGAGTTTTACAGTTTTAGGTCTTACATTTATATCTTTGATCCATTTTAATTATGTATATGGTGTAAGGTATAGGTCCAACTTCATACTTTTGCATGTAAATATCCAATTATTCCAGTATGATTTATTGAAAAGACTCTCCTTTCTCACATTGAATGGTTTTTGGCATTCCTGTCAAAAATCATTTGACCATATATATGAGAGTTTATTTCTTTTTTTTAAAGTTTATTTATTTTGAGAGAGAGAGAGAGAGAGCATACATGCCAGCAGGGGAGGGGCAGAGAAAGAGAGAATCCCAAGCAGGCTGTCTGTGCTGTCAGTGCAGATCCCAAAGTAGGGCGTGATCTCAAAAAACATGAGATCATGACCTGAGCAAGATCAAGAGTTGGGCATTTAACCAACTGAGCCACCCAAGCACCCCTGTGAGAGTTTATTTCTGCGTTCTCTATTCCATTGGTCTATATTTCTTTTTTTTTTTTTAATTTTTTTTCAACGTTTATTTATTTTTGAGACAGAGAGAGACAGAGCATGAACAGGGGAGGGGCAGACAGAGGGAGACACAGAATCTGAAACAGGCTGCAGGCTCTGAGCGGTCAGCACAGAGCCCGACGTGGGGCTCGAACTCACGGGCCGTGAGATCATGACCTGAGCTGAAGTCGGGCGCTTAACCGACCAAGCCACCCAGGCGCCCCCGTTGGTCTATATTTCTTTATGCCAATGCCACACTATTTTGATGACTATAGCTTTGCAATAGGTTTTGAAGCATGAGACCTCCAGATTTATTCTTTTTCAAGATTGTTTTAGTGATTTAGAGCCCTTTAAGATTTTATATTAATTTTAGCATGGAGTTTTTTCTATTTCTTTTAAAAATGCCATTGGGATTTCATAGGGGTTTGCACTAAATCTGTAGATTACTTTGGGTATGTTGACATCTTAACAATATTAGGTCTTCCAACCCGTGATCATGCGACGTCTTTCCATTTATTTGTGTCTTCTTTAATTTGTTTCAGCAACGTTTTGTAGTTTTCAGTGTACAAGTCTTTTGTTTCTCTAAATGTTTTAAAGATATTATTTCATCTTTATAACAACCTTGGGAGGTATGTACTGTTATCTCCATTTGTAAACAAAAATACTGAAACATAGATATTAAGTAACTTGCCCATGGCCAAGTGGCTAGTAGGTGAAGGAGTTAGAATTCAAACCTTGGCAATCTGGACACAGATCCTGTGTTCTTAAAAGCTTTATGATATTATATAGACTTTTTTTTTTAACCGGCAGAGTGAGATGACAAAAAGCCAAGCCAGTTAAATTCCAGAACCCCAAGAAAGGCTTAGGAATCGGAAGTACGTTGTCTCACAAGGTGGAGGTGAGGGATGGGAAAAACATGGGAGAATTGGTTAAAAGTTTATATGATGAGAAGGAAAACCACCAGATTCTCTTCTGCACCTTTATCAACCAAGTAACTGCCTCTCACGTCCCAGCAGGCAAGGGGGAGGAGTACATTCTTTGGAGTAATTGAATCAGGCATGTGCTACACTTAAGACATCAAGGACAGTAAAGACAGGCATCTTATACAAAGCAGTAGGATCAGGTAAAAATCTGTATATTGGACAGTGAGGCAAGAATCCCCCTTACTTCTACTGGGCTGCTGGAAAGAAGAATGTCAACAATGGAATACAGAAAAGAGATGAAATTAGAGGACTGATCAGGAAGTCCAGTCACTCATGGACGTTTCCAGGAAGTGAAAAGAAAGAGAGGGAAGAAAATTATTCAAGAGATAATTATAAAACTGAAGGGTGTGAGTTTGCAGATATAAAGAATTTATTGAATGGGGTGCCTGGCTGGTTCAGTCAGTGGAGCACGCAACTCCTTATCTTGGAGTTGTAAGTTAGAGCCCCATGTTGGGTGTGGAGATTATTTAAAAATAGAATCTTAAAAAAAAAAAA